ATTGCTGTGACTGGAGTTCAGAAGTGTGCTCCAAGCAGAAGGGACAACATATGTGAATGTCCTGAGGTAGAAAAGCAGTTTGGGAGATTCCAGGAGCAGTTTCCCTGTGGCTGGACCATTGTGAGGGAATGGGGTTGGAGAAGCCTGTAGAAACCAGAATAGTGGATTCCAGGCTCCAGGCTCTCAGTCTAGATTCACAGGGCAGCACATTGGTGTCAGTCCTGGGTAGGAGATCCCTAGAAGTTGAGATACCAACTTCAGCTAGCCTGGGTTTGCATCCTGACTCATTACTTGTTTTTCCGCCTTTGCTGAGTCACTTAACCTCTCTGTGGCTTAATCCTTCTGCTGTCAAAAGTGGATTCACTCATTTATGAATTCCACAAATAATTTAGTATGCACATACTATAGACCTAGAAACTGGGGAATCTAATGGGGGGTTAAATCCCTGCTCTGGGGAAGCAGGAAGAGAGAAGATAAGCAATAGGTATTGGACCTATGGTTAGGGTGAGGCAACTAGCTAATTTTTTCCTAAACAACATTTAAAGTAGTTGACAAAATATTGAAACTTTGAAAAGTAAGTGTAGTCAGACCACATTATTTTAAGCTTGTTAAAGAACCCCACAAAATACATCATTTTTACTTCCCTAACTTGAATGGAAGCAAACTCATCAACGATGCAATGATGTTTTTGTTAAAACTATTAACAAGTTTTAAGAAAATACATTAAAACACATAGACTGGTGCAGTTTTCCTTTTGCCTCAAACTCCAAAATGCATCAGCATGGCCCTGTTGGACCTTGTCTTTACCCCAAATATTTGTTCATCATGAATTTTATTATATTTTTTTTGCATTAATGGATTTTTTAAAGTATTGCACTGCAATATTAGTTACTTGATGACTGCTTTTTTTGACAGCCTCGCTCACTTCATACTGTCCTAACCCTGATAGATACTCTAGGTAAAGTAATCTAGAGCATGTCAGAAGGTGTGTTATGTGCTAGGAAAAAGAAAACCTATAGAAAGTGGCACCAGGAGATGAGGTACAACTTCACGTTGGCGTGGGGGAATCAGGGCAGGCTGCCTCATCTGAGCAGAGACCTGAAGGAGGTGAGGAAGAGAGCCCCGGGGGGATATGGGGGTAGAACATGCCAGGCAGAAAGGTCATAGGACTGTTTTGAAGATGGATTGGATGAATTGATACATAGGAAGGGTTTAGGCCACTGTTTCTATAAAAATTATTATTTTTACTTTGTGCCCCAGACCTCACTTTTCCCATCTGTAGAATGGGACCAAAGTAGCAATATGTACTCTATGGGTCTGGGAAGGGGGCCTGACTGAGTCAGGATGCCTGTGAATCCCACTGTTCCTGTGACCCCCTTCCCCAGGCCTATGAGCGATCTGAGAGCTTGGAGGTGGCCTTCGTTACTCAGCTGGTGAAGAAGTTGCTAATTATCATCTCCCGCCCAGCAAGGCTACTGGA